TCAATCTGCTTTTTGGTCTAGTAGTATCTTCCTTGTTCCTGCTCCCTTCTGCCTGTAAGTCTCTCATTTTGTGCAGCTCCTCAGGGCTCCTTTCTATTTGCTAGATCAGATGCTTCCCAAGTCATGAATCGTTGAGTAAAGCCAATAAGCTCTTAGAAAAAAAAAACAAGAAAGAAGTGAATGCCCCTCTTGGCCCACTGAAGTCCACATCTCAGAGAACACATTTTAACAGTTTGATGCATACCCTTTTCAAAGTTTTGCATTGTTACAGATATATCCATGCATCATTTTTCTGACTTTCGAGCTATCCATTTCTGTTCATCCATCCATCCACCCATCTCTGTCCTTGCTAATGGTTAAAAAGCACAGGCTTTGGAGCCAACTGTCCTGGGTTCAGTTCCTTGCTCTGCCAATTCTAGCTGTGTAACCAGTCGTGTGTTACTCTGCACCTCAGGTTTTTCATGTCTAAAATGGGGGTACCACATGATAGGATTGTTGTGTGGATTAAATGAGTTAATACAGATAAGGTTCTTGAAGAAATTCTTGCCAGATGGTAAACTCTCAATAAATACACATTATTATTCACACACACACACACACATACTCACACACATTTCAACCAAAATGGAGTATATATTCATATGCAGCTTGACTTTAAAAAAAAACTATGAATAGATTATAAACATTCCTTCAGGGAAGGATATACAGAACCTCATTAAAAATAATAACAGCTCTGTGTTCCATTGTATTAATATGCCATTTTCCTAATTATATACTTTTAGTTACTTCCAAAAGCACCAATTCAAATATGTCAATAAATAACCTTCCATACATATTATTCTTTATATGTACATGACACTATTTCTGTAGAACAGGTTTCAAAAGTGGAATTTCTGGGTCAAATGAAGTCTACCCATGTCAATGTACTGATTTGAAATATATTATTATACATAAAATTCTTATTTCTTGATTTCTATTCAATCTACTGATTTATGTATTCATTTATCTGTGGCATGCTTCTTTTATTACAATACTTATATTTTCCTTTAATTTCTGCTATGGCAGATCCTCACTATTTTTTTCAAAATTTTCTTATTAGTTCTTACATAATTTTCCATGTGAAATTAAGAATCAATTAAACATTAAACTTTGAAAGTGACATTTGTTTTCTTTCTAATATTACAAGAAATACATAAATGCATAGAGATCAACAATCACCCATAATCCCCACCCCACAGAGATAACCATCATTAACATTTTGATGCACTGACTCCCGGAGTCTACATTTTTTTTTAACTGAGGTATAATTGGCCTGCATCACTATGTTAGGCCCAGGTGCACAACATAGTGATTTGATATTTCTATATATTACAAATGATCACCAAGATGTGTCTGGTTGCCATCTGTCACCATACAAAGATATTACAATAGAAGTGACTATATTCCTCATGCTATACATTTCATCCCCATGACTCATTTTTTTGGAATTCAATCTCCCTCACCTACTTCACTCATTCCCCCAAGCTCCATCCCCTCTGGCAATCACCTGTTTGTTCTCTTAATTTATAAATTTGTTCTGTTTTGTTATGTTTGTTCTTTTTTTTTTAAGATTCCACATATAAGCGAAATCATACAGTATCTGTCTTCCTCTGTCTGACTTATTTCACTTAACATAATACCTTCTAGGTCCATCCATGTTGTTGCAAATGACAAGATTTCATTTTTTTTTAAGGCTGAGTCATATTCCATTTTCTATATATACCATTTTATCCATTCAAGTATCAACAGACATATGTTGCTTCTGTATCTTGGCTATGGTGAACAAAAAGGTACATATATCTTTTTGAATCAGTGTTTCTTCCTTTCTTCAGGAAAAAAACAGTTCTTCCAGAACTAATTGCTGGACTATATGGTAATTCCATTTTTAATTTTCTGAGGAACCTCCATACTGTTTTCCACAGTGGCTGCACCAGTTTAAATTTCCACTAACAATGCACAAGGGTTCCCTTTTCTCCACATCCTCACCAACACTTGTTATTTTTTGTCTTCCTGATAATATCCATTCTGACAGGTACGAGATGATGTCTCATTGTGGTTTTGACTTGCATTTCCTTGATGATTAGTGATGTTGAGTATCTTTTCATGTGTCTGTTGGCCATCTGTATGTCTTTATGGAAACATGTCTATTAATTTTAACATTAATCTACTATTTTGGGAACATGGTATAATCTTGGCATTTGGTCATGTCTTGGTTTCTAGAAGTCTATTATTTCAGAATTTTTAAAAATTCTTATTCTTAGACCTTTTATAACTGAATATATGATACCTTTGTGTCTTTAACTATATACATATATCACTAAATATGTATATATTTAATTTTTATTTATGTTTGCTGCTATTCCAGTAATAGGTTCATCTTCAAAAATAAAGGAGTAAAAACTATACAATTACATTAATAGATGATATAATAGGATTTGATAATGTTTAGAAGTTACTAAAAGTTATATTTAGAATAATATAGAGTGATTGGAAAGTTTTTCATAAAAAGTGAGTGAAAGAAAAATAAAACAACATACAAGCTGGTAGGATCAGATTTGGCTTTAAATTTTAATAAACATATATTACTTTGAGTATTTTGAGTGCTATGTACTATTTAAATGTTTTTCCAAGCATTGCCAACTCAATCACACAACAATCATATCACGTGGGTGCTACTATTATCATCTCCCTTTTCATGAAGGGAAAACTGAGATGGGCTAAGAAACTTGTCCAAAGCCACATTTGTGCTCAGTGCTAAGCTGGCAGCTGAACCCAGGCAAGTGGAGTTGTGACTTCACCATCTCAACCACTAGGACCATGTCAACACCTACGAGCTACAGTACTAACATATCTAGGCCCTAACCAGGTGACATAGCCTAATTCATGAGGAACAGTAAATTGATCTCACACGTATTTAACTTTACCTCAGCAAGACTATGTTTTTTTTTAATCTTAGAATCAAAGATAGAGATTGAAAGTTGATAGGACCTTGGGGAATATGCAGTTTTCACGTCCAGTAAGTAAGATACAATTTGTAAAAGTAATGCTAAGTACAGAATAACATAAATATTTTAAAAATCAAAAAATATTCTAAACAAATAAATATCAATAAATTTGAAATTCAAAAAGTAAAATCAGTGTATTTCTAGAAAATGGAAAATGCCAAAATTAACAAAAGAAGAAATAGAAAATCTTAATTGAATAATATATGTTAAGTAAACAACACTCCTTAAAAGGGAAGAACTTTTCTTCAATAAAGTGCTGAGTCCAAGAAGTTTTATATGTGAGTTATTGTATATTTTCTATTGTATACAAATGTATCTGGAAAACAGAAATAAAGGAAAGCTGCTAAAACTATTTTCATGAAGAAATTATAGCATATAAACCCCAACATGGGCAGTTCAAGAAAATAAAATTACCTTTCAGTTTCATTTACGAAGATCAACACCAGTATCCTATCTAAAATTTTATCCAACCAATTAAAAAATGTGTTTTGTTTAAAGGGAAAAAATAAGGTAATCTCAATATATTAAAAAAAATAAAATCCCTTCTTGTCAACATTTTTAGAAAACTAGGTAGAAGGGAACTTTCTTAACTGAAAGACATAATAACAAATGACATCAGTAACACGTCAAATGGAAACATTTTAGAAGGATTCATTTAAGATTGGGGAAAAAAACAAGAAAAGAAGAAAGGAACCCCAATATCTCACTACTGTTCAACAGGGTACAGGAAGTTTTGGACAATATGAGATCAGAAAAAGAAATAAAAGATACTAGGAATTAATAGAAAGAATCTAAACTCATTATCTGCTGATAATGATCCGAATGTTGAAAGTCTAAGAATCCTCCTGACAAACTGACAGAACAAGAGAGTTCAACAGGATTATCAAATGATTAGAATACTGTGATGTAAAGTGAAACACAAATTCAAAAGAATTAAAATACATAAAATTGGGTGTGCCTGTGATTTCAGAGTAGAAAAAAATTTCTTAAAACAATGCCAAAAAAAATAGCATGAAATATGAAGGGAAGCGTGGATAGCTTTGACTACATCAGACTAAAGATACAGCCTCCAAACAGGACAACAAAGACAAACTGAATGATGGGCAGTAGACTATGTCAGAATCTTTCAATGTCTATAATTAACCAAGGACATCCAAAATATGTACAACAAAAAGAATGCAGCAAGAATAAAGTCAAGGAACTTTATGGAAAAGCAATGTAAAGATACAGAGTCATCTGGCCACTAAACATACAGAGTCCTCATTGATTTGGGCCTCACTATTAATTGGAGGAATTACATTGACAGCAGATACTTGAGTTCTTACTGTGGTCAGCCACTATTCTAAGTCCTTTTAAAGTATCACTGTTCTGTTCTGATCCTTACAGCAACTCTATGAACTAGGCAGCATCATTCTTGTTTTACAAATTACGAAACCAGGAACAGGAAGTTACACAAGTATTGAGTGGTAGAGCTAAAATCTGAATCTAGATGGGGTGGCTTTGCGTCCACGCACCTCACCTTCACGACCACTACGGCCTACTGCTCTATTACACAATTTTATAGCCATCAGGCTGTTAAAAATTAGAAAGGTAACATCAAAGGCTGACAAGGATGTGGAGAAATAAGAAATTTCATATAATATTGAGAGGGGCAGCTCTACGACGGTGTAGCCATTTGGAGAGCAATCTGGCAGTGTTTAGTGAAAATTGTAGGCATACACTTTGTGCCTCCAAATTCCACTTTTGGGTGTGTATGCTAGAGACGTCCTTCACAGATGCACAAGGAGGCATGTGCAATGATGCCCCCTAAAGCACATTGTGCTAGAAAGAAGTCAAAGGCAACCTAGGAGTTCAAAAATAGGTAAATGTATAACCAACGTTTATTGTATGGATACGCAAGAGAGGAATACAAGTGTCAGAGGCAATGATCCACATGGAAAAGAGAGCAGTGCAGACAGATTTCAAAACTACAAAGTTGAATAAAACAGTAAGAAACAGAATGTGGTGCTATTTGTGCCATTAAAAGCATAGCTATATTAATAAAAATAAATTTCATGAATGAACATATTGCAAATGACCATGAACCATGTGAAATGTGGAAGAGCATATGTTAACTGCATGTGAGTGTTCCTGCTGGGGGTGGGAGGGAGATTGATGATGCAGGAACGAATGGGAAAAATCATAAAAATAAAATATAAAAGAGAGAAGGTGCACTGGTTGACAATAAAAATGTGCCAGGAAACAAGGAGTATAATCAATTCAATTCTGTGCACCTGAGATACAAAAGCCCAAAGCAAACAAAATTAAAGATACCAACAAAATTTTAGAAATCTATCTATCTGTCCATCCAGCCATGTGATCGATTTTTTTAAAACACTGGTGTATCAGTATATAAAACTTAGGCTTATTATAATAAAAAATTATGTAGGGATTTAAAGAAATTTGGGGCCATAAAGAATAGCACAGAGAGAATTACTCGGGATGAATACAGTGGTTTTAATTCCATTTTTACCATATATTCTTTTAGCTTGTGTAACAAAAAGAAAAATCTTTAACACAGTAAGTGTTTCACATGACTTGTAAAACCTGGATTACTAATGTACTATCTTATTACTGTGTGATTTCAGAATGTGTAGAAAAATACTTGTTTCTATGACCTGAAATCTTGCATCCTTACAAACTACCATGACAAAAACGTCCAAATGATTAAGGATAATGTGCTTTATACTGCATTTATGTTGGCCTTTCATTTTTTCTAGTTACAAAACTTTTAATGACCCAGAAAACATATTTACTTAATGAATCAAGGAAATTGCAAGAAGGAAACAGGGTGCTGAGTACTTGCAGAAAAGGCAGAAAAATGGGAAAAATTTTTCTTCTTTTAGCTACATTTTTTTCCAACAGTCTGAATTACTTTCCTCTTGTATTTATGGCCTACATTAAGTATTGCAATATTTAATTATTTAAATAATGACCAAAAATGCAATGTATATATTCCTTAATAAGAGGTTAAAAAGGTAAAAGCATCTCATTCTCACTTAGAGATACAGTAAAATATTCATGAATTAAATGACCCAATGTCTAGGATTTACCTTGAAGTACACCAGGAAAAGCGCTGGGGAAGGACAGGTGAAATTGGCGAAGTGGTAACAATTGTTGTTGAGTGACAGGAATATAGAAGTTCATTCTTCTTTTGTATAAGATTAAAATTCTTCATTATAAGAAGTTTTTCTTAAGAAAATAATAAGCTTGGGCTTTGTGTGGTTTTAAGGATCATTTTGCTGTAACTGCTTTATGAAATATTATGAAATGAATAAAGCTCTCTGAGCTGCATGGCTGGATTCACTTGGAAGAGTTTATGATGCTGGTCCAAAGGCCAGCCACATTCAGGGTGAGGTATATGGCCTGACACATGACTCCCTTTTCCAAGACAACTGGCAAGTATGGGCTGCTTTTCCACATGCGTGGTAAGCACTGGCCAGATTTCTTCTCCGAGTTTGTGTGGGGAAGTTCCTGTCTAAGAACACTGCTTTCCCTCTCGTTGAGCAGTTTAAAAATTAAGCTGTCAAGTAATGAACATTTATTATAATCAAGTAACTTTGCAAAGGAAGAGGAAGGTTTGTGTTATGTTTTGTTGGTTTGTTTACAATTCCCAAAAGACAGTACAGACATCAAGTCCCCAAAAGGAGACTGGTGAGTGAAATTGGTTAGTTATTGACACAGTTTAAACTTCTGAGTAATTTGTTTTAGGGAGAATTTTCTATATTGAAATATCAGTTGAAAATTAATAACATTTAGTTTGAAAGTGCAAGATAATTTAAATATTTTAAATTATGGGTACTAAAATCTGAAGGAAAATGTTGAAAGGCTGATGAAAACAACTCTGGAGGTTTCTGCCAAGCAGCCTATCTGATATGACTACATAACTAGTTGGCATTTTTCCCTTGTCATATCAAGTAAATTAAGCTAATTTTTAGAGAAGTGTGAAATCTTTCCAAAGGGCACCAGGAGGTTAACTTTCTTTTGCCATTTGGATAACCAGGACAGATTTTCGACTTATATAGCCTTCAACTTTCCTGTTTGAGACTAGGAGAATAAAAGTGAATCGTTTCTACAGAAAGTGTTCTGCCCATCTGCTATAAGAAGTTTTCAAGTTTCATGATGAAATTAAAATAGAAAAAAAATTTAAAGTTCTACCTCAATAAAAGAAAAAAAAAGTTTGAATTTTGAATAGTTTAACTCTGTATTTCAACCAGTGAAATAATTGAATGTCCCCCCACAGTCATTAAGAAAAAGGACATTTATATTTGCTTTCTGTTTTTTTCTTCTGTCCTAGAAAACACAGAAAAGGCATTCTTCAACTCAAAGAAAAGAATGAAAACCCCTTTTCTGCATCAAATTTTGTAGACAAATGAATATGTCAAATACTTGGTAGTTCAGAAGATATAGTTGAGCTTGGTTTTCAGAATTGGTTTTCCACTGATAAAATTAGAGAGGAACAGATACTTGAAACCTGTTTCCCGCCCTCTGCATGCTCTATAGCTCTTAAAGGCTCTGAGCATAGCAGTTAGGAATCTGGACTTTGTGTTAAAAAAAAATCCCCAAATGACCTGGGTTTGATTTCCACATGCTCCATTTATAAGGAAATTAGTAACCTCCTCAACCTCTATCTATAAATTGGTGATGATGAATATATACTGAATACATATATAGGAAAACAGCTATGTTGTTGTAAAGGTTAAATTAGATTGTGCATCAAAGGTACATAACAAGTAACTAGAACATTCATAGACATGCTTAATAAATGTTTAGCTATTATTTGCTCTGGGACAGCATTTATATTTAATTTAAAATATATAGTGATGTAGAGGTCATTATGCTAAGTGAAATAAGTCAGACAGAGAAAGACCAATACTGTACAATTTCACATATGTGTGGAATCTAAAAAACAAAACAAATGAACAAACATAACCAAACAGAAACAGACTCAGAGATGCAGAAAACAAACAGGTGGTTGCAGAGGGAAGGAGATGAGAGGAGAGAAACAGGTGAGGGACATAAAGGGGTACAAACTCTGAGTTACAAAATAAGTGAGTCATGGGTATGCAAAGCACAACATGGAGAATATGGTCAATAATTATGTAATATCTTTGTATGATGACAGATGGTAACTAGACGTACGGTGATCACTTTGAAATAACAAATTGCTACATTGTGTACCAGGAACTAATATAGTGTTGTAGGTCGGTTTTACTGCAAAAGCAAACAAATAAACAAATTCATAGAAAAAAAGATCAGATGTAGTTACCAGAGGCAGGGTGGGGGAAGTGGGAATTGAACAAAGGTAGCCAAAAGGTACAAACTTCTAGTTATAAAATAAGTAAATACTAGGGATGTGATGTGCAACATGGTGAATATAGTTAACACTGCTGTGTGCCATATGTGAAAGTTAAGAGAGTAAGTCCAAAGAGTTCCCATCACAAGAAAAATTTTTTTCTACTTACTTATTTTGTGTCTAAATGAGATGATGGATGTTCACTTAACTTACTGTGTAATCATTTCATAAAGTTTGCAAGTCAAATCATTGTGCTGCACCCTTTAAACCTACACAGCGTTATATGTCAATTATACCTCAATAAAACGGGAAGAAAAAATCAAAATAAATAAATAAAACATATAGCAATGAATATGTATGACTAACAAAATAACTCTTTTGAAAAGAATGAGAGGAAAATGCAGCATGCATCTACATAGTTGAATGGTTCTAAAAGCTGACCTGAAATTTCCTGAAAGACAAAAAGTCTTATTATTGGCAAACTACATTCTCTGAGTTTTAAACTGCATCTGGTTTGAATTAGCCTTGGAAATCACTGCTTTGTTTTTCTAAAATAAGTGCTGGATAATCTCCACATAATCTTGATGACGACATCACTTTGTTTTTTTGAATAGATATTTGATTTCTCAAAACTTTCACAAAGAGAACCACAAGTAGCAGGCTCTACCTGGGCCTTTCCCGATTGTCAGAGCAACTGTTTGTTGACTAGAAGCACGTGAACAGGTCCCTCTCTAGCTCACCACTGTTGTGTAACTGTATGCAAATGCAGGACATTTCTCCTCTCCGCTTTCAATTCTTCATTATCAGTATTCTCACCAACCTCAGAATTAAACGAAAAGCTCCAACGAAAAGCTTCACACAAGTGACAGTATTTTCTCCGTATATTCCCAGTATTTTCTCACCTAACAGAACCTTAATAGTTTAAATTCATTGACCCTCCATTTTACTTCATAGAGGTATTAACTGAGAAATCAAAGACAGGATTCAGCTTACCTGTTGTTGGAGAATAAAATGAGCCAAAGCCTTTAAAACATGCGCACGAGCTCCTAAAATGCTCATGGAGAAGGGAGTCCAGGGTCCTAGGCATCAACGCTGACCAGGCTGTGTGGTCTGCTGTCCTGTTTCAGGCTGGACCTATTCAGGCAATTTTAATGAAAGGTTTAAGAGATCCAGGTCCTGCAGAACAACTGTTGAAATCAATCCCAGCTCTGTCACCTGCTGTGTGACCTGGGCAAACTGTGGTCTCCTGAAAAAGGGAGAATACCAATCTCTAGCTCATAGGGTAGTTCTGAGGATTAGTTAAATCAATCCATATAAAATGCTTAGGATAGTGCCTAGCACAAGGTAAGGGTCTAGGAAATATTAGCTATCATCATTATAAACACGCAGGCTAAAGCATGTATAGATATAAATATATAAATATACGTATGCACACACGTATATGTAAATATGCCATATGCACCAGAATGGTAACCTTTTGGTTTTACCTTGCACTACTTACTTACCATAGACTACTTTTTCAGGTAAGTACATGTAGATTTATCCCATTAAAAAATTGCTGTCTTCTAGCACATTATATTGATGTAGTTCTCTTACACTGGTATACATTTAGTTTTTCCTTTTTGCTTTACAAATAATACTTAAAGCTACAATGTTTCTATACATAACTTTGCATATGGATACCTCTCTTTGTAATGAATACATTCCTAGAAATAAAACTGAGGGAACAAATTATATTTCTGTTTTTTTTAAATTGATATTCTAAAGTATTCCCCAAGTATATTATGCTCATTTTATATTTCTAAAAACTATAGAAGACTATCCATTTCCACAGACCCTGCCAGCATTTAATGCTATTAATTTAATTACTGCAAATCCAATGGGTATGATATTGTGTTGCATTTGGTTTTAATTTGAATTTCCTTGCTAATAGTGAAGTTGAGCATTAATCGTTGCATATACTAGAAATATTAACTCTTTGTCTCATATATGCGCTACAAATATTTTCTCCAAGACTGTTGCTGGTTGCATCTAGACTTTTACCCTCTTTAAATAGGCCTTTCCACACTGGGCTTAAAATATTCTCTCGTATTGTCTTCTAACAATTTTATAGCTTTGTTTTTGCTCTTTAGATATTGAATCTACATATAAAATAACATTGCATATGGTGGTTGTAAATATACAGCTTTATATATTTTGGGCAGCAAACTTCCTCATAGTTAAATAAGTGTGAAATCAGGGCTAGAAATTGAGAGGTGGATGAGACTTTAAAGATTATTCAGTCCATAGTCCCATCTTGCTATTCTGATGACTAAGGCATAATAAGAGAAAACCAAGTCATTCACCCCAGTGCTTAGGGGAATCTGATGTGAACGTTAAGGCTTGACAGCTGATCTGAAGTTGCTTCATCTGAACAGATCATCTCTTCTCATGACATTTCCTGCCACGTGGATCTGTATTAAGCAATTTGGCCAGTCCTACTTTCTTGTTCAACTTCCCCTTCTAGATATTTTCACCCTTCCCTGAAATCATAGGCCTTTATAGGAACAGTAGATTAGCTGTAGACAATAGATAGATAGAAATGATTTTGAACCCTTTTTCTTTTTAAACTTTTTTTTTCCCAAAGCTCTTACTGAGAGAGCCAACTTTTGGTTTGGCACAACCCCTCTTCTGAAAACAATCAAGTTTAATATTCCACCTATAAATATATCTACCTGACATGAAAATACTCACTGTTCTAGGCCAGATTCAGGTAGAAAACATACAATTTGATTCTTAAAATAGAGGAACGCTTGACAAAAAATTTAAGGGGCTAATTTGTGGTACAAGTTTATTTTGAGAGGGATGATTTTAATTTGGTATTAATTTTTATATTAACATTATTTACTGGCATTTATTCTTTCTACTTGCTAAAGTAATACATATAAATTAAAGAAAATTTAGAAAATATATAAAAACAAAAATTCTATTCTGCATAATGACTTTAAATATTTTGATACATATTCTTTAATCTTTTATGTATACATATGTGAAATTTTAAACAAAATGGATATATGTTGAACCTGATTTTTCTTTTTGAAGTTTACTTTCATTATTTAAAATAGTAGCTGAAAATTATGAGATTTAATATTAAAATCTGGGAAGATTTGTGGCAACTCAATTTATAATCTCCTGTTGTCCTTGGGGAGAATGTATTTCTTTTACAGGATTTTCATTTTTAAAACTTTTCTCAATTTTTAACTTTTATATTTTGTTTCTCACATTTTGAGAAATCTAAGTAAATACAAGAGCCAAATTGTCAAAGAAGGTCACACTCTAAAAGGGAACCATAGTATTTTGCTTCAACAGGAATCTGGGATGAAATGAAAATGCTGTATATCAAATCCAGCTTATTGAGCAATTTTCCCTGTGAGGGAAGTATCTGAAGAAAAGACAGAATACCAGACCAATGCAACAAGTAGAGCTACGAAAATACAATGAGGTCTTGTAGAATGTGTACTTTTCACTCTATGAGACAATTCAAAGCTAATACACCAGTGAATAGAGGTAAATATATGGTTTTGAAAACGTTATTTAGGGAGTAAAAAAGAATATTAATTATCAAAGTCTCAAATAAAGAAGACAAAAAAAGATTAATAGAGTAAACAAGGAACAGCAAAAAAAATGAAACAAAGGAATAATAAAGATAATGTCATTAAATGAAATGGAGAAAGAGATATGATTTACAAAACTGAAAGCTATTTTTTCAAAAGATCAGTAAGTCAGACATACATTTCAAAAAATTGATCATCAGTAAAAGACTGTGAATGCAAACAAACAACACTCAGAAGTAAGTGAAGTAACTAGAGACATAAAAGACCCATTGAAAATAACACGTAAATTATAATTATGTTGTAAATAATAATTTTAACCGTACATTAAAAAGCCAAATTAAATGGACAGTGTAAAAATGTAGTGACAAAATTATAAAAAATTTAAAAAACACCTTGCATAGCCACTAAATATATTAACTGTATTAACTAATTGAAAGTCTTCTCTCTTAGAAAACCCTGGCAAAGTTTATAGGTAATTCCTACCAAATATTCAAGGAACATTGCTAATCCTTATTTTATACAAATTGAACCAAAAAATAGGCAAAGAGGAAAAATGTCAAATGTTATGAGGCCACATTAATTTTCCTTGGCCACATTTTCTCAAGAAGACATCTTTAAAAAATTATTAAGAAAGGAGCTTTTTCTAGGTCCATTTCAATATCAATTTTCTATTTCCATTTCATTCCAAAAGGTCTTTAAAGTTGAACTTTGTGATAGCGATAATTAGAACTAATCTTCTTTCTATCAGAAAAGAGCAGTTTACAAGCCAAACCTATAAAATAGAACTGAGACAGTCCTTAATTTTAATTTACATAATGAACACATAGTTATTTAGCCAATAAGGTTTGAAGGAGTTAATTCTGAAGTCATTTCTATATAGTGCATATTAATACAATGTGCAATTAATAGTTTAGGCTTTGTGGTTAGAAGCTTGGACCTTATTTTCAGTCCCTCCTTAAAAGCTGTGTGGTCTTTGGTAAGTTAATGTAAACTCTCTTAGCTTCCCCATCTTGAAAATGCTAATAATATCTTAAGGAATTTTGGGAGAATTAAATTAGATAATAAATATGAAGAGATTTAGAGTAGCCAACTCAGAGTAATTCTCAGTATGTGTTAGTTACCATCTGTACTGTGATAGATCTTGTTAGAATAGTTCAATTACAATTTAAAATAAAGAGTATTTAACTAAACTCTTAAGCAAGATATGATTGACAGGAAATGTCTTTAAAATAACTTTAAAATACATTTATTGTACTAAATGAGGTAATGCTGTAGAAAGATGGTATTTGTTATCATTGACTGCCCTGAGTTCTAATAAAAAAGACTAAAATTCCTGGTGGAGAAGTATTCAGTAAAATAACTCAAAACTTGGAAATAAAGCCAAAGAAGTACAGGATGACCCTTCAACAGCACCCTAAAATAGTACTGTTTAACAAGCCCATCCAATGATTATTTAATCATCTAGAGTTACACTATCCAACACAGTAGCCACTCTCCATATGTGTTTACTGAGCACCTGAAATGTGGCTTGTCAGAGAGGAGATGTGCTGGGAGCATAAAACAGACACTAGATTTTGAAGATTTGGTATGAAAAAAGAATGCAAAATAATCTCACTAAAAATATGTTATATTACATGTTAAATTGGTAATATTTGTGATGTACTTGGCTAAATAGAGTTTACTATTAAAATTATTTTTCTTTTTCTTTTCTACTAATGTGCCTACTGAAGTTACATACGTGGATGATATTTTATTTCTATTGGATGGTGCTGATCTAATGAGAATATAGCCTTGGATAACTCACCAATTACAATTAATAAAAGCCTGGAATCTATGAAGTTACATAGTAACTGGCAAATTTCTTTCCAGTAGGGATGTAAATGATTTCCCTCTGATAGAAAAGATAACCCTACAGGTTATAACTTCATTGTCCTGAAGGACAGAAAGCAGTTCTGTAAACAAGTTAGAAATCTTATTACAACATTTTAAAAATCATGTGTATAACTATCCAGAATCTCAAAATGACCTTTTAACCAGCTTTGCTATCTTCTTGACTCCCTCATTAATAAGTCAGTAAACCTTTGCCAGGTGTTCACTCTAGAGGATTTAATAGATATGATTTAGAAGAGTTTATTTCCAACTAATAATATACATGAAAGAAAGCCTTTTTAATTTTCTGAAAAGCATACTTTGATGGAAAAAGTCCTTACTATGTTGTAAAATCTTTGAATTAGTTTGGCTTTTACTGCTTTTCTTCAGTAAACTTGATTACATGATACTTTTCTTAAAATTCAACTATGACATGTGTAATTTAATATTTTCTGAAAAGTCACCTCACAATTCACAAATCACAAAAATTGACAAAGAGAAGTTCAACCAGTTTATAGTATAGCTTTTATCCACTGTCCACAAGGATGTGAACACAGATCTCATAGAACTTTATGTTAATTAGACTGTTTCTGTCATTCAATTTTGAGCAGTTAATCATTAATGTTCTCAGCAAGCCTTAACGGCAAGCCTGTCTATGGCGCTAATAAAAAG